AGGATGTGATCAATTGTTGATCTCCCCTCTCTGAATCCAGCCTGTTCGTTTCTAATTATGCCCTCTGAGAGTATCCAGTCTTGTAATTTATAGTTTAGATGTTTAGCATATAACTTGCTAACTACACTCAATAAACGAATGGGCCTATAATTATATGGGTCATTTTTATTGTCCTTTTTATAGATTGGTACAATAATTGCCATTCCCCAGTCCTTTGGGATATAACCAGTCTGGTCTATAAATGTGAAGGGTGATGCTAGTAAAGGTGCCCACCAACTAGAGTTCTTTTTAATTATTTCGGGCAAGATGCAGTCAGCACCGGAATCCTTGTTAACCTTGAGGGATTCAGTCAGCTGGGATACCTCTTGTACTGTAACTGGAGACCAGTGAGGGGTTTGATCCAGATTAATCTGATTCTCATTCATATCACAAGCAGGGTCCATGTACAGCCCTCTAAAATATTCCTCCCATGCATGAGTTGGTACCTGATTAAGTGGGGGAGGGAGTGATTTTCCCAGTCCTCTAGTGATATGCCAAAAAAGGGATGTATCTTTCATCCTAACTGATTGAATTAATTTCTGCCAGGACTCCTTCAATGCCACGCTTTCCTTTTCTTTTAAAAGGACCTTATATTGAGCCTTTAAAGACCTTAAAGAATGAATTTGATCCTCAGAAGGAAAGTTTTTACTTTTCCTGTACTCCCTATTATATATCCTCTTTAGCTGTACACAATCCCAATCAAACCATTTTTTATAACTCTACTTCTGGGGTGGAGCTGCATTCCCTTAATGAAGACTGTTTTGAGGTTGGCAATTAAACTTTCAAACCAATCTAAATATTATGTTTGGGATTTTCTATCTAGTAGGTGAGCACAAATTTCTATAGTTTCAGGAGCTAGCTAACTTCTGTTGCATTCTTCTCAGTCCATTTAATTCTCACCTGGGTATTATTATTTTTGAACATTGGCAGGTAGATTGAGTTAGCTCTTAGAAATTTCCAATGGGATGTCAAAGTTAAAATTACTGGATAGTGATCACTTTCTAGTCTAGAATCTACCTCCAGCCTCCATAAGAATTTCAAAATATCACACGAAATTATCCAATAATCAACTGTAGATCTTCCTGCCCCCCAGTAGTGATATTCTGCTGGATAATCCCCTCCTATGGAACTGTTGAGAATACACAGGTCCAGGTGTGCAATCATTTGTCTTGCACATAAACCTGCCCGGTTAGTTTTTGAATCTTTGAATTCTCTGGGGTACAAAGGTTCCTCTAACATATTCTCCTCATAATGTATCTTGAATTGATTGAATAATGTGTGATCATTTAATCCCATCCTTGCATTTAAATCCCTGTCTATTATTATTGATGCTGTGGAATGTTTATCTGAGCAACTAACGATAAAATTTTCTATATACCCCTAAGTAATACTAATCAAATCTTTCTTATTAAAAGGAGGAATGTAAATGTTAAACAACAAAACTTCCCCATGTTTGGATGAAAGCAAGGTAGCCACTACCCATGGCTTTAAGGGAGGCAATGACACATAATTGAATTGTAGAGCTGTGCTTACTAGAGTCACAATATACCCTTAGATCTCCCACCAACCTTACTTGAAATAGCCGGGATAGAGTTAACACAATAACCGTCTAACTCCACCTCTGAAGAAGCCCAAGCTTCCTGTAAAAAGAGAACATCAAATTGTGACAAATAATAAAAAAAAACGTTGATCTTTGGATGGAACTGACCATCCAGCAGTGTTCCAGGTTAAAAAGGAAAATGGATAATCATTTGAAGCCAGTCACAAAATGTGATTTTTGACAGAAGAGAGCTATAGAATTGTTATGCTGAGCTGGGGAATCAACAGCAGATGTTTCCGTCTCTACTCAAGGGTGGCTTGCCTCATGCAAATCCTGTGTCAGCTCCTGAGGATCTTGTTCAAAATTGACTTCCTCCATCTGATCTTGCCTTACTGACGCTTCATTCAATGGCACTGGAGATAGAATTGCTATGTCATACTGCATTCGTCTCTGTGACATTGGAGCTGGTGGGGGTCCCCGTCCAAGTCCCCTGACTTATTGCTAAAGCCCCAACAGAATATTCTGATGTGTGTAATAGCTCCTCCTCAACTACAAGTTCCCCTGTTGGCCCGAAGGGATCCAGACTGCTGTTCTTTGACGGGTTATATTCAGATAGTCCCTTATTCACTAGGGGAGACAAAATCAGTAACTGGAGACACAAGGTCTATAAGTGGCTCAGCTGTGGCGATTGTGACCAACAAGGTTTTCTTCAGATTTTCCAGCTTGAGCAAAATGTTATCTTGTTCTTTTCTTGGTAAAGAGCCAAAAGTGTTAATGAGGCCAGCTTCAGTTGAATCGAAAACATCTTCATCAAGTAGGGCAGGCTGACTCCCACACTCTCGCTCTCTCAAGGCCAGAGGTGGAGAGATGCCAACTTTGGGAGCTGGCATATCAGCAAATAAGGGTTTAGCCTTTTCGTCACAAAAGACTCTGATGGGGAAAATTTGAAAGCTAAATATACCCTCATCTTAAATAGCATCAAGGGAATGGTAGACTGCTTGAAAGAGGATCCGCTTCCGATTTGGAGCACCTGGGAGCCATTCAACAGCACATAAATCAATCTACCCATGTGGGCAATGGATAAGCTGACCCAGGGAAGTTACAACTGCTCTCCCAGTGTCCAACACTATGTCTGTTCATGCAAACAGCGAGAGCAATCTGTTGTGTTTGCAGTGAATGATTTAATTTAGATGGAAATGTTTTGTTTACATCCAAAGAGTCTTTAATATGTGTAAGTTCCCCACTCTTTGCCTTATCAAGAGTTAGAGAGTTAACCTTTGGGAGCCGTGGCTTTTTATCTAGTTGTTTAACCTTTTCTTTGGCTGCTTGCTCTTTATGAACACACTTGTCCCGGGTGTGAGGGTTAACTGCATCTGTTTCATAAGCTTTTGTAAGAGTAAAAGATCTAGATTCATACTTTTGCACAAAACCCTCTATTTCTCCTTTCACCACATCTAGCTCATGTTTTATGGCTGAAAGCTGCTCAAATATCGAGATAACGGTTTGCGCCGTGAGCAAGCATTGTCTTGCCATGAACTCTGTTGAGTTTTCCTGTGTAAGCCTCTCCATATTCTGATTTTGGTTTTAGTTTTAGGCTTAGTTTCAGATCCCCTACAGCAAATAATTGGGCTAATTTCATGGAACAACGACACACTTACAGGAGTCCTGACTCCCTTTTAGCTCTTCTCTGACAGATAGGGAAAGCTCTAATAACTGTTGTTTTTCCAACTCTGTTTGAAGATCCCATTCTAATACTTCAAATTTGTTGGAAGTGGGAGGGAGATTTATTTTACTTACATTTTCCTTTTGTGCAAAGTGATTTTCAATTCTTGGCTGTTTAGCAGACTTCAGTGGAGGAAGGGAGCCCAGACTGGTGCCATGATGTTTCTTTCCTTTACCCATATCTATCAAATTTCACACAAGGTTCTTTATCTGTGGAATTGTCTTCACAGTTGTCTCATCCAAGCAAAATTATTTAAGTTAAAAATAAATCCAGTAAAAATGAGTCCAGTAAAATATTTTAAAACTATTAATAAGATTAGACTGGCAGGAGCTCCGAAAAACATATCAGAGGAGCTCTCCAGCCAGTTAAAAAAAAAATATATATATATATATAGGGAGCTCACCAAGGAAGCTGCTGCTCCATCGCCATCTTAGCTCCACCCACCAGGTTGAAGTACATTGCCATTAAGCCTTTAAATTAATTAATGCTTTTAAGCAATAGGTTTAACTCCTATTACAGCCATCCGAAGTTATTTAGAGCTTATTTCAAAAGCTGTGATTTCAGAATCATAGTAGCAATATAAAATAGAGTTAGTGATGCATAAAGCCCAAGAGTATTAGAAAGTTTGTATGCCTAATGATTGTTTATACTCAATTTGTGTTCTGCCCCTTCCTTAAAAAAAATAAACAGTGTACAACAAAGGAGTTAAATTATTAAGACTACAGGTTGATTCCAATTAATCTTTAATTTTAGAAGAAAAATATTGATCTCTCTGAGTACTGCTAAGAGAACCCAAGGGAAATAGGGTTAAATTCTGTAGAGTAGGTTAGTTAACCTATAATAAGGATTGCTTTATCCCAGGTGGTGGAATTAAATTTGAACAGCTACATACCCATTTACAATTCTGATCAGGTTGGGGCATGATCTACAGGCAAAAGTCAAGTAGAGCTTGATGACTTGAATGGCATAAAAGTGCTAGGTGTTTATGAATTACCCCAAAGGTCTGAGTAGATGATACATTTCTTTAGTTTTCTCTGTGGTATTATTTATAAGATATTACATATATCCTGGTATTTAAATTAACAGACTACTAATCTGTTGAATATTTGGGGGGGGGGTTAAAATGAATCATCTTTTCAAGATTGTTAGTTAAAACCTGCTGTACCATTTATTTTGGATTTAGAATTAGATCTAAATTAGTTTTAAAAGCAGTATTACTATAAATGTAAATGAAACTTGGTGGAAAATGTTAAGAATATGGATGCTCATCTGCTAATTTTACAGAATATTTGCAGATTTTACACAAAAAAAATCTGAAACAACTGGTAAAGGTGTCTTTATAATTATTATTTCAAAAACATGACACGTAAGAAAAAGTGTGGGGAAGAGGAAAAAGCAAGCAAGCTCAAGCAGTCCATTCTTAAAGGTACATTTTAGGCCCAAATATCTACATTTAAAATAACATTGCTGTTAATCCAGTGGAATAGTAGTATTCGGTGTATGAAATGTTTTCTGAAGAGCAACTTTTCACACTTCTTTGTTGTAGCCAGGCTTTCTGGTGAGGCTTCTGGACTTGATCTTTGTTTCTCTCATGAATTTAGCTATCTTGATTGTAAACATTTTTACTCACTGTGTAAAACTTTTTACTTCACCCTCACTGTGAAGGGCCTTATGTTCCTCTGAGGGAAAAAGGAATAAGTCTGAGTATAATGTTTAGTAAAACATATTACATAGGGTTACATAAGGTTTTTGGCTCCCTATATCATCTGTTTGATGGTGATGTTGAATACATTTCCTCTTAGGTGCAAACCCTACTATGTTTAGCTTTCTAACTTAATAATACTAATTCTATGAAATACATTTCATTACAGAATGGCTTCCTATGTGCATATTATTTGATGTACAGGGTTATTACTTCCTATTTAAATCAAATACTCTTTTCATTCCTGCACATTCTTAAGTGATTTAATGAGTATTTGAACAGCACATAGCACATAGTTAAAAACACATACTGTGCCAGGATTTTAATTTCATTTATTGTTTTATCAATACAGTAAGCATTGCTTCCTTATCATTTCTGTTTTCAGCCGTAATTTTGTTACAAAGACTCATCACAGTATGCTTTACTGGGCAGCATGATCTTCCATAAAATAAAAAGGCAACAGCCAGACTTGATTGAACCATTTTGGTTCTGTTGTTCTGTCATACATGAAACTTCCTGTTTTTTGTTTGATTTGCTTATATGAATATTATTTATGTAGGTGGCTGCTATTATAGAATGTAATTATTTTATATTTTGCTCATGAATGTTTCCAATTCTGTCAAGGATACCGACTGACTGACCAGTTCTATGATCTCCTGATTCAGAAATTTGACAGACAAAGAAGAGGGCAGGTGGCCTTTGATGACTTCATTCAGTGCTGTGTTGTACTGCAGGTAATCATAGACTGGGGAATATAGAGAGGCCAAATGAAGAGAGATGGTCAAGTTGTTTCAAATAGGCAGCATGAAAACAAGGACAGGAATGTTTGAATTCAAGCACAGCTATATGTTGTAGACCACTGAATTGGCAGTTTTGCCCAGCCCTTTCTCTGGATCCTGACTGATATTGTCATTGTCAAAATCTGTAGAAGAAATGTTCCCCTCCTAGATTATGTACAGATCATATCTGTTTCATGGTTGTTGTATGCATTTTCTAATGGAACTCAGATATTTTGTCTGTAGGCAATTTGACATTAACTTTTTGTCTTCCAGAAATGGACAGATGTCTTCAGACGCTATGATACTGATCAGGATGGTTGGATACAAGTATCTTATGAACAATATCTTTCTATGGTCTTCACTGCTGTATGATTGTAAATATTGTCTGTGATCAAGGAAAAGAATTTGCAAACTTGCATACAAGAGAAATGGATAACTTTCATTCTTCCATACAGAACAAGAGGTTTAGAAATACGTGCATTGCTTAAAGATTCTGTTATTCATTGCAAAAGGTGCTATAGCTGTAAGATTCAGCATTGTATCATGTATATTTTATTGCTGGAAGTAATGTTTAAATGCCAAACAGTAGAATTCTTATTCAAATTTGCACACTATTGTATTTGTCTTTTTAAAATAGGAAGCGCAAAACAAATTAAATTTTTATCCTATGTCTTCACAGCAGGAATGACCTTAAATGCACAGGTGTCAAGATATACACTTGTATTGTTTCTCCCACTTAGATTAGGTTTCATCTGCTTCTTCCATTTATTATTAAAAAAAAGAAAAGAAAATTAATGTTATTCTTCTTCCTGGGATTTTTAAATTCTGAGTAAGCACAGAGATTTATTACTACTAAAGCTGAATAATTCTGCTTTTTCTGTATCTTCAGGTGTAATAAAAAGGTTTACTGCCTTTCCTCTCTGACTTGGAGATATAGCTGGGTATGAATATATTGCTACAGTCATACTGTGTATAAAAATGTTTTGTAACTAAACACGTTGCAATTTTGAGCGGAGTTTTACCTTCAGCAGTTGCTTAGGATGTGCTGCTAGCCTAAATAATACTTTTCTGCACACACCTAGAACTGGGAAGGAGGGTCAAGATCCAGTCTATTTTGGAATAGTACATGGCCACACAAGGGCTGCATTTTCAACCATGCATAATTTATTATATGCCTAATTTACTAACTGCATAGCATTTCTGCAGTATGATCCTATCTTTTATATGGCAAGCAACTTGACTGCCATATATGTTGCATTTACTTCCTCTACCTTACGTCACAAAACAGAAAACTTGTGAAACAAAATTTATTCGCTGAAATTTCATTGAAGAGTATTAGTCCTGATTTACATGGCAAATGAATATCCCTAAATAGTAGAACTGATAGCCTCATTTGGAATGTACTGATATATATTTCCACTCGTGTTGACTTAGTGCCGTTAAATCAAAATTACATGTAGAAATAGTAACTAGAACAGAGTTAACAACACCTATCCCCCCCCCCCCATTATCATGTTATGGTAAACTTCAGAAATCTTAAACATTATAAA